GGATCATGAGGCCAGGCGATCAAGAGTATCCTGGCTAACATGGTGAAACCCCATCTCTACTAAAAATACAAAGAAAATTAGCCAGTTGTGGTGGCACATGTCCATAGTCCCAGCTAATCAAGAGGCTGAGGCAGGAGAATCGCTTGAACCCAGGAGGCGGAGGTTGCGGTGAGCCAAAATCATGCCACTGCACTCCAGCCTGGGCGACAGAGTGAGACTCTGTTTCCCCCCCGCAAAAAAAAAATAAATAAATAAAAATAAAGATGGATAACCATTAGAAGAATGGCAAAAGATGTAAACAGACACTTGACAAAAGAGTATTCAGATGGCCCAAAATATACAAAAAGTTATTCAACTTCATTAGTCTCTGGTGAGTTGCAAATTAAAACCACAAAGAGATACCAGTACATAGTTAACAGAATTGCTAAAATGAAAAAGTCATTAAGTACCATGTGTTGGCATGGATGTGGAGTAACCAGAACTCTTACAATTGCTGGTTAATATTTAAATTGGTATAACCACTTTAGAACATATTTGACACTGTTTACTAAATCTGGACATAGGTACATTCTATGCCTTAGTAATTCCACTGCTAGATATATACCCAGAAAAACATATTTTCACCAAAATATAATTACCAGCATGTTCAGGGCAGCACTATTGGTATTATATTCAATCTGGGGATTATCCAAATGCTCATTAGTAGAAGAAAAGATAAATAAGTCCTGGCATATTCATACAACATAATGTGACACAGTAATGAGTTGAGCATTTTTTTTTTTTTTTTTTTTTTTGAGACGGAGTTTCGCTCTTGTTACCCAGACTGGAGTGCAATGGCGCGATCTCGGCTCACCGCAACCTCCGCCTCCTGGGTTCAGGCACTTCTCCTGCCTCAGCCTCCTGAGTCGCTGGGATTACAGGCACGCGCCACCATGCCCAGCTAATTTTTTGTATTTTTAGTAGAGACGGGGTTTCACCATGTTGACCAGGATGGTCTCGATCTCTTGACCTTGTGATCCACCCGCCTCGGCCTCCCAAAGTGCTGGGATTACAGGCTTGAGCCACCGCGCCCGGCCGAGCATTTTTTTTTAAGTTTTACTTTTTATAGAAATGAGGTCCCGTTGTGTTGCTCAGGCTGGCCTCCAACTCCTGGCCTCAAGCCATCCTCCCACCTTGGCCTCTCTAAGTGCTGGGATTATAGGTGTGGAGTTGAATAAACTTTACTCTCAAAATCTGAATGAATGTATGTTGAGTGAAAGAAATCAGATCAAAAAAGTATATAATTTCATTCATATAAAGTGTAAAAATAGACAAAATTCAGGATAGTGTGTTTTTTTTTTTTTGGAAGGTTACTGGCTGCAGATAAACTCAAGAGGAGCTTCCACAACTATGTTTCTTGGCCTAAGGGCCTGTTACTTAAATGTGTTAAAATTTGTTAAACCATACACTCATTTGATATGGCTTATACATCAATGAAAAGTTATTTAAAAAGGATACTGTGGATTAAACACAGGAAGGGAGAATATATGCTGGCCCTAAGTGTCTTTGCATCATGGGACTGTGAATAAACAGTATTATTTTTCTTTCACATACTTTTTTGAATTTTCAAACTGTCTTTAGTGAATTTGTATTAGTTTTATAACACAGAAAAATTAACGAGCTTAAATAAATACAAATGTAAATGAATGTAATTTTTCCAATGTGTCAAAATCCTGTAAAGAACAAGTGAACTGTACACTTTGATGCCAAATTGGGTTAAGGAGAAGAGAGGAGACACCTCTAGGCCAGTTGCCTGTAGGCAGCATATTCAATGTATTTGATCATCAGTTTACTTTTGTGTCAAGTGGTAGTATAATTTTTAAAACTTTTACAGTGTTATTGTAAAATTTAGGGATCTTGTATGGGACACTTAGCTCAGTCTTGGACAGATAGTAGGTGTTTAATAAATGGTAGCCATTATGATACTTACAAACAAGATGCCTGACTTCACTGTGAGTAAATAAAGTATCTAGGTCTTTGTTTCTTCTTTGTGTGAACTTGGTCCTCTGTATTCCTCAACAACTTGGGCTGCTCAATTTTTTACCTCCACTGTATCTGACTTTGCTTCACAAGCAATTATAGTTTACGTGTTACTGACTTTCCATTTTTTTTTTCTTTCTCCCAGATCTCCACTAAGTTCCAGCGTGGTGATCTTGAACTTTCTTTGTTAGATGTTTGGATGGAATTTTTCTACTTATCTGATTTACCTCTGGAAAAACCTTATAATGTAATATATACATTTAATTGGAAAATACTTGATGATAACTTAATTATGTTCCTAGTGTCATACATTTAATTGGAAAACACCTTATGATAACTTAATTACATTCCCGGTGTCACTGCCTCAATTCAGTCCCTGATTATTTTAAACTGGGACTGAGGCACCAGTTTTCTAACTGGGTTCTTGCTCGTTGAATAATATTACTGAAACACAAATCTGATTATGTTACTCCCTTTGTTTAAAGCCTTCTGGTGACTTTCCCTTCCCTCCAGTTGACAATGGAGGTTCTTTTGCCTGGTTTGTAAGTCTCTTGCTGGGCTTAGCTCTACCTTCTCTCATCCTCACGTCCTGCCGTTTCTCTTGCTGTGCTGCATTCTGTGGTATCCCTGAATCACGTAAGGTTCCTCTATTTTGCCATGTTTCATAAGTTGCATCCTCTTAAGCTGCATTTTCTTCCTGAAATTATTTTCACCACTTCTACTCTGGAAACCCTTAATTTTTTCCCGCTGAAAGATTGCCTTCTCTGTGAAGCCTTCTGTGATTGTGCCTCTAGGCAGAGGATGTAATGATCTCTCTTCCTGTTCTTGTAGTGCTCTATGTGTGTTAATACCTCTCATATAAAAGTTATTATTCTGTAATTATTTCTCTCTATCTCTGCTTTCCTCCCATTTTCTGAGCTCCTTGAGGGCAGAGCCTGTGTCTTACTCATTTTTTCAACCCGTTGCCTAGTGTGAGATATATAAAGTGAGAGAGAAAACGAGTTTATGTGTGGAACACCAGCTATAAGGGAATGGAGGAAATGTAGTTTTTAGCTTCTCAGCTGCTAGCAACAGTGAGACAATCAGTAAGGGGTCTGAGTGGAGCTGAGTGAACTGAACTGTGGCATCTGCCACAATCCGGAACCCAGGAGAGGTCCTGTATTTTATTGGCACTCAAACCTCAAACAATTATTTTTTGCATTGTTGTTATACAGGCAATTTATCTGTTTTTTTTCTTTCTTTATATATCATTCATTTTTCTATGTTGCTGTTTTCATAATTAAATTATAGTATATAATATTGCATTGAGTTGATGGTTTTTACACTTTCACAGGAAACAGTACAATGTAATGTGTTTGTTTTCTGTTGCTGCTGTTTCATATTACCACAGACTTTGCAGCTTTAAAACAAGATGGTTGATTTTACAGTTCCCATAGGACAGAAATCTTAATGGGCTTGGTAGGGTCTCTTCTTAGAGCCGCACAAGGCCAAAATCAAGATGCCAACAAGGCTGTGTTCTTTTCCAGAGGCTCTGGAGAAGATCTTGTTTCTATGCTTATTCATGGTGTTGGTAGAATTTAATTCCTTATGGTTGTAGGACTGAGGTCTGCATTGTCTTACTGGAAGCCACCTGAGGACTGTTCTCAGTGTCTACAGGCTGCTATGTTCCTTGGCCTGTGGTTCCCTTTCTTCCTCTTCAAAGCCAGCAACTGTGGGTTGAGTTCCCTCCTCCTTCAAATCTCTCCTGCCTCGTCCCCCATGGCTTATCTCTGACACACTTTCTCTCTCATCCTCATTGAGAAAGACCCTCTGCTTTAAGGGCTCATGTGATTAGCTTGGTCCCACTCAGATAATTCAGAATAATCTCCTCACTTCCAGGCCTATACCCTTAATCACACCTGTACTTTTTTTTTTTTTCCTGCCATGCCAGGTAACATAGTCACAGGTTCTAGGTATAAGGATGTGGCCATCTTCGGGGGCCCATAATTCTACTTACCATATGTGGAAACTGTCAAGTTGATCTAAAAGAGTATGTTTTAAGTATTTGTTATGTGCTGATGCCCTGGTCATTATTGATTAGATGATTTATTCCTTTTTATTACTTAAATTATAACTTAATGAATAAGAAGATGTAGACCTAAATAGCCAAACTAAGCTATTAAGTGTTATCCTTCTGTCAGTCACAACAGGCTATTGGTATTGATAAACTAAGTCTTAAGTTTTTCTCTTGTTTAACTGAGATTCTTAAGAAAAGAAAAAAAATAAGTGGAAGTGGATAGACAATAAACCAAGAAGTTATAGAACAAATAATATTTTTCTTTGACTAAATGCAGATAGGTCTTCATCCTTTTTGTTTACAAGACTGTAATTAATGTATTGACGTTTTCTCCTTGTGGAATCTGTCAGAGTAGTAATAGTGAGAACTTCAGCTGGTTGCTTCAAGATTGGCCGGAGGTACCTCATTATAAACTTGTCAAAGACTATTAATTACCTACTTGTTTGGATGGAAACGCCTTTTGATAGTTAAAGGTTGATTGTCTGAATCTTCTACTTCTTTCTGGGTTGCAGTGGCATTATTTAGATGAATAATGTATTTTTTTTTAATTTATCTAAATAATAAATACTTTAAAATGTATTGTCAAGGAAACAAATATGAGTATCTCATGGTTAGGATATTAGATTGGTAAAAAATAAAATACCAATTATTTATTTTATAAATATCTCTGAGGGATTATTTAACTAATGCACTATGGTGTTTTTCTCTTTCCCCAGTTTTATTTTTTTGTTAAATGATTCAGAGAGAACAATATGTTGATAGTGCTCTTTTAACATTTACTTTGTTATAAGCAAAGATGGATGGGTTTTTAAATTTATCTACATGTTTAATATCTGATTATTTTAAACATTCACATTATCACTGTCTTCTCTGTTCTTATGATAATACACATTTTTGCCCTTTCTATTTCATTTCTTTAACACAGGATGAAGTAGGTGTTCCAGGTAGCAATTCAGCTGACCTATTACGCTGGACCACTGCCACCACCATGAAAGTCCTTTCCAACACCACAACCACCACCAAGGCGGTGCTCCAGGCCGTCAGTGATGGGCAGTGGTGGAAGAGGTCTTTAACTTATCTTCGACCCCTTCAGGTAAGCAGTGCATCTTTCTTTTTAAAATCAGTTGTATGGTTTATATGAATTAATTAGCAATGCTTTCACTGTTACATCTTTATCTTCTCTACATGGTTAAAAAAATCTCTCAAGAAATACAGACCTCTCCTCAGATAGGGAATGAGTAATCTGTTTTATAGAATGTAATATATTCTCATGGAATATTTGCAAAGGACACTAATAGAGATTCAGGTAAGGCTCGGTTTATGTATCAGAATTTAGTGAGATGAAAAGAAAAATTTTATCAGTGCTTACTTGCTTTTGCTGTATTTCTACGGGCTGATAGTTGAGGAAGAGTGATAGGAGGCAGACTGGGGGCTCTCAAGAAGGACAGCTGAACAGATTCTTGCTTTCATTCTGGAAGTCCAAGTCAGGGCAGGCAGTAGAGCCATTGAGTTTGCTCTGCATTCTCGCACCGCAGTCCTTTAATCTGACACTGGAAAACAAAGAGGAAAAGCATAGGACTATTAGCAGTTTGCCTCAAACACTCCTTGCGCATCTCATTCATTTATTCATTCAGCAAATACTTATTGGACATCTTCTTCCTTTCAAATGCTGTGCTAATTACTGGGAATACGGTGGGGAAACACTTCAGTCTAATTCCCTTCTCCTGTGGAACTTACATGTCAGTTGGGGAGACACAGAAGATACACGTTTGTATAATAATGGAATGGCAGCTGACAACGAGCGTGACAAAGATAAGTAAGCAAGGCAGGTAAAGTCTGAGTGATCCTGGGGAGTGAAGTTCTGATTAAGATAGAGAAATTAGGTTTCTCAGAAAAGGAGCCACTTTGAGCAGAAATATGGTTGAACCAAGGAGAACAAATGCAAACCCTGTCCCCCCCGGAGTGGGGTAGCACAGTTGACATCTGCATAGAACGTGAAAGGGGCCAGTGCGGCCTGAGCTGAGTGAACAATGGGGAGAATGGAAGGTGATGAGATCAGAAAGGTGGTAGGGAGGCTCATCATTCAAAGCCTCATGTAGACTGTGATGACAACTGTAGATTTTGTTTTGAATAAGACGGAAAGCTTTTGGAGAATTTAGGCAATGCAGTTGTGTGATCCATCTTTACTTTTACTGTGCTCGTTTAAGTGCTGTAGAAAGAATAGAAAAGAGACAGTGAGATAGAAGCCAACATGCAGTGAGATCAGTCCTCCCGGTGAGAGACATGGGTGGTTTGAGCTAGCACAGAGATGAAGGCAGTGGGAAGAGGCTGGTTTGGGGATGGGATGTATTTGTTAGACTTGCTGGTAGTCTGGATGTGGGAGAAAGACGAGACCTAAGGACAATGGTCCAAACAGTTGAATAAATGAAGATGACATTTACTGAGACACTGTTAAATCTCAGCTGTAATTTTTATCATTTGCAGCAGCAGCTTCATCGTTTCCCTAGACTGTGCTTGGCATAATGTAACTGCAGTAAGCCTTGGAGGAATAGGTGAATTCTTTTTACTTGGCTCTTCCAGTAAGGAGCTTTACAATTTATTTGGAGAAAGCAGAACATAAAGATGATTAACTATAATCTAGGCATACTAAAGTTCATGCTAATCTGCAATGCTGATAGCATGTCTTGAAGACCTGTGTGGGTGGTAGTTGTGAAAGAGATGGGGATCATGAAAGGGGCACAATCATGTCATCCTGTGTCCACCTGACAAGGATTCAGCAGGTCAGGTCTGAACTGGGCCTGAAAGGAAAGTTAGACTCTAATGACAGTCGGCAGGGCAGGACCCTCACAGTGGGAGACAGATGGAGAAGCCAATAAGATACATAAAGCAGGCAGTTTGGTTGAGGTGGAAAGTTAGCCTTTCATGTTAAGTAACATTTAATCACCTCAGATGTTATTCTACATAGTTTAGTTTTTAGGCTATTGGCTGTTTGGCTTGTTTAGAGCTACGGAAGGATTTTTAAGCAGGGCAGCAACACAGACAAGGTGATGTTTTATCTTTTTTTTTTTTTTTTTTTTTCCTTTTTGTGGAGAACGGGGTCTCATTATATTGCCCAGGCAGGTCTCGAACTCCTGGGCTCAAGCTATCCTCCCACCTCTGCCTCCCTAAGAGCTGGGATTACAGGCGTGAGCCACAGCGCCCAGCAAGATGATGTTTTTGAGTGGTTATTCTGATGGTAGTGTAGAAAACTCACCATGTGAACAACATTGATTGCTTCAGTGTTTCTAATTCATTGATGTCAAAGTGACCGGGAAAAGAAAAAGGCATTGCAGGGTGGGGTGGATGTGCTGCTCTTAGCATTTGGATATTCTCCTTCATTCTCTGCTGGGTATCTGTGTGACTCTGGCCCTCTTTTTAGGTCATGGGAAGCGTGGGAAGCGCAGGAAGCATTGATCAGTTTCCCCTGAAATCAGCCTTTTCTTCCTCGCTCTCTCCCTTTCTTCCTTGTTTTTACTCCTTTTCCTACTCCCTTGCCGTCTTTTTCTTTTTATCCATTTTTCTTTACTTTTCTCTTTTCAGGGGCAAAAATATGGTGGTGCATATCAAATCGGAACTACAGCTAATGAAGATCTGGAAAAACAAGGGTGTCATCCTTTTTATGAATCTGTCATCTCAAATCCTTTTGTCACTGAGGTAAGGACAGTGAGTCTAAGAAGATAAATTTAACTGTCATGCTGTTATAGACAGTATAAACAAAAACTAAAATTTTCCCGAAAATATACTTACTTGTCTTACTCATGTTATTCATTGGTTTTACATGTTTCTTTGGTATATATTATGACACATTATGAGATTAACATCTATTTAAAAATGTTTCATAAAATAATATGCTTCAGTTTGTGAGAAGTTATTCAGGTCACCAGAAGACATAACATCTTATAGTTGTGTTTTCTAAGCATATATTTGTATAACAAAAGGCACCCTCCTCCTTGGTGAAACTGCTTCTTTTGTCTAGTCTGAAGTGACCTATGACACCTATCAGCATGTTCCAGTGGAAAGCTTTGCAGAAGTATTGCTGAGGACTGGAAAACTGGCAGAAGCTAAAAATAAAGGAGAAGAAGTCTTTCCAACAACTGAGGGTAAGAAGATTCTAGTTCCTTGATGGTGTGTAACTCTAGAAGAACATTGTTAACTAAGAATGTACAAATGAACAAGAGTTTGGAAAAGAAATTTTTCAGTAATTTTGAATTGCTTAACTTGACATTATCATTCATTCATTCATCCATGTATTAATTTTGTTTAAAACGTTTATTGAGAACCTACTGTTTTCAGGATTTGTACTTATGTTGAGGGTTTAAAGGGATAAATATCATTCCTATCTTTCAGGGGCTAGTTATTAAGGTGATTCTCATAGTGAATGTAAAAAATGCTCAATAAAATTTATTTCCTGATTTTATGCTTAATAGAATGTAGGTCATATTTGATCTTCAGAATTTTCTGCTTGGCAGAATATCTTTCCGTATAGGAATTTTTGAAAAGAATGAAATGCATGCACATTTACCCAAGACAACTTACAATTTATACCTTTTTTTCCCTTTGGTCTTCTTCTTTTTCTCTCTCTCTCTTTTTTTTTTTTTTTTTCTTTTCTTTTTGAGACAGCGTCTCGCTGTGTAGCCCAGGCTGGCGTGCAATGGCATGCTCTCAGCTCACCACAACCTCCACCTCCCAGGTTCAAGCCATTCTCCTTCCTCAGCCTCCCAAGTAGCTGGGATTACAGGTGCACACCACCACGCCTGGCTAATTTTTTTTTTTTTTTTTTTTTTGGAGACGGAGTTTTGTGCTTGTTACCCAGGCTGGAGTGCAATGGCGCGATCTTGGCTCACCGCAACCTCCGCCTCCTGGGTTCAGGCAATTCTCCTGCCTCAGCCTCCTGAGTAGCTGGGATTACAGGCACGCGCCACCATGCCCAGCTAATGTTTTGTAGTTTTAGTAGAGACGGGGTTTCACCATGTTGGCCAGGATGGTCTCGATCTCTTGACCTCGTGATCTACCCACCTCGGCCACCCAAAGTGCTGGGATTACAAGCGTGAGCCACCGCGCCCAGCCTTAATTTTTGTATTTTTAAGTAGAGTTGGGGCTTCGCCATGTTGCTCAGGCTGGTCTTGAACCCCTGACCTTGTGATCTACCCGCCTCAGCCTCCCAAAGTGCTGGGATTACAGGCGTGAGCCACCACGCCTGGCTAGCCTTCTTCTTTTTAAGGTTCTAGGGTAGTTTCCTTGACCGTGTCCTTTCAATTCCCCCTCCCTCTGCGCTGCCATCCTTAGTGAATATTTCATAATTCAAAGGCTGCTGGAACTTTAGCTACCTTGTCTCTATTTCAGACATCAGTGAGAAGGAAAAGGGATGAAGGAAAAGCAGTTTTCTTGCAAGTCCCATCCATAACTTGCACTTATTATTTTATTACTTATTATTACTTCTTATTGTATTACTGGCCACCTCTAACTGCCAATAAGCCTGGACAGTGCTGTCTGTTGACTGAGCACGTTGCTGTGTGAAGTAAAATTTAGGAAAATGCATACAGGGAACAGAACTGCTAATTCCCCCCAAAAGCTGATAGTATTGCTTATTTTTAGATAATTTTTTTCTATCAATCAGTACTCACATGCTGCTGGGAAGAGGAGAGGTAAATACTACTTCCCCATACACTGTGCAGTTCCCTTGAACAGTAGAGATTTTTACTAAGTATACCATTTTCCTTCAATTCTGAGATGCCTGTTTCTCTACCTGTTCTTCTCTGTTCAGGGAATATATCACAGTTATGGATATATTTATGTTTCTTTTCTTCTCCAGAAAGCTATTACTAAATTCATGGTACATCTTACAGTTGAGATTGAGTATGTATGAAGAGTACAGTCATGTTTCTCTTTCCCTGTTTAACTATTCTTCCTTACTGATTGCTTTTCTTTTTATTGTCTTACATCAGTTGCCCATGGATTAAGTATGATTGGTTATCCAGGCAGGTAGTTTGTACAGATAGAATCTGAGACCTTAAGAGAATACTAGGTTGGATATGGGCGTATCACCTGTTTTTTGGCATAATAATGGAGACTGAAGTAATAACCAGGACATTCACAAACATTGGTTTATATGATATTTTTGTTATTTAATTTGCAAAGTACGAGCATAGCATACTTTATTGTCCTTTGCTATATTGCACTTTGCAGATACAGTGCTTTTTAAAAAATTGAAGATTTACAGTAACTCTATGTCAAGCAAGCCTATCAGAGCCATTTTTTTAACATGGTGTGCTCACGTCATGTCTCTCTGTCATATTTTGATAGTTCTCACAATATTTCAAACTCTTCATTGTTATTACTCTTCATTATTCATTACGTATCTGTTACGGTGATTCATAATGAGCGATCTTTGATGTTACTGTTGTAATTGTTTTGGGGCACCATGAATTGCACGAATATAAGATGTAAACTTAATTGATAAATGTCATGTGCGTTTTGACTGCTCTGCTGACCAGCCATTTTCCATCTCTGTCCCTCTTCTCGGGTCTCTCTGTTCTCTGAGACACAACAATATTGAAGTGAGGCCAATTAATAACCCTGTAATGGCCTATAAATGTTCAAGTGAAAGGAAGAGTCGTACATCTGTAACTTTAAGAGCTGGAAACAATTAAGCTTAGTGTGCAAGGTGTGTTGAAAGCTGAGAAAGACTTATAGTTAGCCAAGTTGTGAATGCAGAGGAAGAGTTCTTTAAGGAAATTAAAAATGCGACTCCAGTGAACACACAGGTGATAAGAAAGCAAAACAACCTTATTGCTGATGTACAGAGAGTTTAGTGGCCGGCATAGAAGATCAAACCAGCCACAACATTCCCTTATGCCAAAGTGTAATCCGGAACAGGTCCCTTTTACTGCCTTTAATTCTGTGAAGCCTGAAAAGAGTAAGGAAACTACAGAAGGAAAGTATGAAGCTAGCAGAGGTTGGTTCATTTTGAGAAATTGCCACAGTCACCACAACCTTTAGCAACCACAATCCTGATCAGTCAGCAGCCATCAACATTGAGACCTTTCACCTGCGAAAAGATACTGAAGGCTCAGATGATTACTAGCATTTTTTAGCAATGAAGTATTTTTAAATTAAGGTATGTACATGGTTTTCTAGACATAATGTTATTACATTCTTAATAGACTACAGTATAGTGTAAACACAACTTTAATATGCACTGAGAAACCAAACAATTTGTGTGATGTAGTTTATGGCAATATTTGCTGTATTGCGGTAGTCTGGAACAAAACTTCTAGTATCTTTGAGATATACTTGTACCTGTATGTGAATTTGAATACCTCTCATATAGAAGGTACAAAAGGCAAAATAATGGAACAAAAAGGCTTTGCAAAAAGGCCAAATAATGGGACCACATGCTTAAAGGCCTTAAAGTTGGCTGCTTTCTTGGAGTAGACCCTCTCAAATTGATTTGCTCATTGTATTAGGCTTCTGATATTTTCCAGTGCTGTTTTCCGAGAAACGTTGAGTATGTAAGCAATTGGGCCCTTGAGAGGTTAATCAGCCTCCTCTTTTCATAGAATCCTTACAGTACTCAGCCATCTTTGCGTAGTTGATAACTAAATGATGAGGTATCAAAACGATCTCGAGAAGTGAAGCAAATAGTGAGGTTTTCTTGTGGAGCTTTATAGAGTGGGGGAAACATACTTGAGGATGATCAGGGATCTCTTCCAGTTCCCTTTCTAACCGTGTGGACATTATTCACTGAAGGAGAGGTCCTCTAGCCACCTGTGTGCTAGGCCCTGTCCTAGGAACTTAGAATATAAAGTTAGAGACATTATCCTTGTCTTCAACAGGCTTATAAAAGAGATGGGGAGACAGACAGATGTGTGATACGCGCTATGACAGGCAAACCCAGGGGCATTGGGATTGTAGAGGTGTTTCAGCTGAGGGAGAAGGTGTTGTGAAGAGGTCTTCTGAAGCAGACGATATTTGACTGGGACTTGGAAGGATGAATAAAGGAGGAAACGGATAGAGAGGTGTGTTTAGGGGAAGAAGAAATGAGATATTTTAGGAAGAGGGGATAAAATTCACAGAGGCAAAGAACATTTAAAACTTTATGATTTTTCAGGGATGTGTGTGGCCAGCCAGTGGAGAAATGAAGCGATAGTAGTCTGAGAAGGAGTGCAAGGCTTTGTGAGTGACTTTAAACATTTTGAATGAACCGTCTATCAAGAGCTGTAGGGATTTCAAGCAGAAGAATATTATTCTGTTTTCCTTTGCTTCTGTTTTCTTATCTATAAAGCTTGAATGTTCTGCCTCGGGGCTGTTGCTCCCTGATGGCTTCATGCTGGGCACCCACATGTGCACCTCGGCTCAGTCGGGTCCCCTGACCTGCATGATTGTCCTTGCTACCAGCTTGCCCTTCGGTCGATCCAATTATGATTTCACCATTTTTTCAGGACTTATCTCTGTAGTTCTCCTTCCTGGTCATACTTTAGAATCTCTTAGGAAAATTTTTAAGAAATACCGCAGCCCTTGAATCCATTGTAGGTGATTTTTTCAGTAACTCTGGAGTTGGGCACATTTATCAATTTTAATTTTTTATATGAGGTAGCATCTTGCTCTGCTGCCCAGGCTGGAGTGCAGTGGCATGACTGTGGTTTGCTGCTGTCCCAGCCTCCTGAGCACAAACGACCCTCCCACCACTGCTTCCTAAGTAGCTGGAACTACAGGTGCACACACCATGCCCAGCTGAATTTTTTTATTGTTAATGTAGAGACAGAGTAGAGTCTCTTTATGTTGCCCAGGCTGGTCTCAAACTCCTGGACTCAGGCAGTCCTCCCATCTCAATCTCCCAAACCACACCTGGCTCATAAATCATGTGTTTTCTGGAGAACCTCAGGGGATTCAATTGTGAAACCATAGTCAAGACTGTTGGGAAAGTTTCGCTTTAAATATTAGATTCTCCCCAGCCTCATGTGCCCATTTTCATACTGAGACCTATCTCTCTGACCTTCTCACTAGGCAGCGTAGAGAAAACTCCCCAGGTCTTTTATGGCTGTGTCTGGTCTCTTCAACTTAAGGCTCAAACTCTGAGTACCACGTCTACTTCTAAATGTTCTATCCTTACAGCTGTGAGGATTTTCTGTGAGGCAGCTATGGAATGAAAGTGTCTTCGCAATGATGAGAGTAAGTACAGTGTGTCTATCAGAGTCATTGGGCCAGTGAATTGAGTGTACACTCTTAGCGCATCTGCACCCTAGTTTGTGTACTGTGCTTAGTGGTGTCTATGGGATTTTAAGGGCGTGCAGTGATTTTCTGTCTGCCCTGGTGTTTCTTGAGATTATATTTTCTAACAATCAGATTTTAATATTTCACCAGAGAAAGAATCTAAGACTATTAAGGAATTTTTAAAACATTTCAAATGTCATTGAATGATAAAAACATTTCAGAACACTTACAATTTATATTAAGAAAACATATGACTATACCATCAATATTAAATGTAGAGGTGATTTTTAATAATAATCCCTTTTATGTAAATTTGGGTGTATAATTTATGAAGCATTTTCATATTCCCTATCACATTTTATATATTTGCTAATGCCAATATGTCTGGAACAGAAACCTTTGGCTATTTTGTAGTATCAAATATTTGTCAGAAACTCAGCAGAATTGAAAAATGATGTAGGTTATAAGTGACACAGATTAAAAATTGTGGTAAAAAAGTAATTCTGGACTTTAGAAGTAGGTCATAATATAAATTAAACTTCCTAACATGATCTGACTTTTTAGAATTTTTTAATAAAGTTGATGAAAAGATTTTTATGGAGACTAACTGAAGAAAATTGGTCATTATTTATTTAGCTAGATGAGTGATTTAATGGTTAATGATTTCCAAATCAATAATATGGGCAACCTTATGAGTTTTGTTCTGGAATTAAATTTATCAGAGTGCTTTCTAGAGGCACTTACTTTGCACAGAGTTAGTACTTGAAGGCTTAAGCATAGATTTCATCTGGTTTTGGCCATATAACTTGTTTAGAAAATGCAGTATTTGGGCCCGGCGTGGTGGCTTACGCCTGTAATCCCAGCACTTTGGGAGGCCGAGGCGGGTGGATCACGAGGTCAAGAGATCGAGACCATCCTGGTCAACATGGTGAAACCCTGTCTCTACTAAAAATACAAAAAATCAGCTGGGCATGGTGGTGCATGCCTGTAATCCCAGCTACTCAGGAGGCTGAGGCAGGAGAATTGCCTGAACCCAGGAGGCGGAGGTTGCGGTGAGCCGAGATCGCGCCATTGCACTCCAGCCTGGGTAACATGAGTGAAACTCTGTCTCAAAAAAAAAAAAAGAAAATGCAGTATTCAAGGTTTGAGAAGTAGCATTACAAATTAAATTCACGCACACTGCTAAATGTAGAGCAGGTTTTATTTTATTTATTTATTTATTTATTTATTATTTATGTTCAATGGTAAAGCCCCTGTGATTCAGTCTCTAGCCAATATTACATGTTGTGCATTCCAGCAAAATCTGCTTACCATCTTCTCTGAATATTTTGTCAAATATTGCTTTATATGGTGTACAAATTCCACAGCTAAGAAGCTTCCAAGTGTGGGTTTTGATTTCCATCTGATTAGAAACTCTGAGTCTGGGTGAGGGCTGCTGAGACAGTTTTGATGCTCAGGAGTGGAGTGGAGGGAGACTCATGTCCTCCACCATCCCCATCAGTTCCCTACAATTCATGTTAGTTAGGAGAGCCCTGGGCGAGGCGTTTGGGTTATAGAGATGAATGGCCTGGGATCACTGTGTAGGAGAAAAAGAGTCATGAGATAACTTCAGCAACAGTTGTGTTAGAGATTGGAGAAGAGAGATTCCTTTCATCTCAAGTCATATGGAGAATGGTATACTTGATGCCTGGGATTCTTCCAGTCTTGAAGCAGCTGGGAGGTCATGGGTTTAGTGTAGTCAGTAACTCAGCCGGCTGAGTGCAGTGCTGGAGACCAGGCAAATATAACTTGCCCAGAAGAGTCTTTTAGGAACCCCTCTTTGGGGAAAAAGTTAACTGCCAGGGAGCTTAAGCATTTGACATAGTTTTTAGGGAGGATTTCTTTCTCTTTTCTTCCCCAGCATTTTTATTAAGAAAATTAAAAATTCACAGTAAAGTTGAAATAATTCTGCAGTGAACTCCCATATACTCTTCAATTAATATTGCCACATTTACTATACCTATATTTCTCCACCCATCAATCAATCAAACTCAACTTCATTTTTGATGTATTTTAAAGTAAATTACAGACATCAGTAAACTTCATCTCTTGGCAATACACTGCATATCTTTAACTAGAGTGAGCATTTTTTACTTTTGTATGTTTCAAAATTCACAGTGAAATACAAAAATCTTACTTGTACCACTGGACAGATTCTGACAAGTACAGCACCTGTGTAGCTCCTGTCAAGATGCAGAGACCTTACGGCCACCCTAAAGTCTGATCCTGTTCTTAGCACACACCCAACCCACACTTCCTATAGGGCACCCCATGCTCTGATTTTTTCCCCACTGTAGATTAGTTTTGATTGTTCTAGAATTCATTAAATGCAATTATATAGTACGTATTATTTTGTATGACACTTAAAGTGCGTTTTTGAGATTCATTTATATGGCATTGTTGGTAGATTTTTATTTTAAATTATTGAGTAGTATTTCATTGTATGCATATAAAACTGTTCATCCACCCTTCTATTAAAGGATACCTGGGGCAGGCTGAGGCAGGAGGATTGCTTGAACCCGGGAGGCAGAGGTTGTAGTGAGTCAAGATCATGCCACGGCACTCCAGCTTGGGCGAAGGAGTAAGACTCCGTTTCAAAAAAAAAAAAAAAACGGATTTGGCTTATGGCTGTTATTTTTTTAAAAAAGCTGCTGTGAACTCTCATACAGGTGTTTTTGTGGACATGTTTTTTTATTTCTTATAGGTAAATTTTAATGGTAGAATTGCTGGGTCAAAGGTTATGGGTTTGTTTAGTTTTATAAGGAATCACCAGACTTCTCTTACTTTCAGGTGTTGTGGATTTTCTGAACCTTGGTGTTTCAAGACTGCAGGTTTTCTATCTGAGTTTTACCTGCCCAGTATGGCACGGGCAGGAGTTTGCCCTTAGGATTGAAGCTGTAAAGATGGGAAACTCACCAGTACCATTCATTCCTTCACATGGCAGCCATCTTCCAGTTTCTGTTTTTTTTTTTTTAGGCACCTATCCAGTGGCTTTTAATGCTTGTTTTTGTTGTTGTTGTTGTTGTTGTTTGTTTGTTTGTTTTGTGATGGAGTCTCTCTCTGTTGCCCAGGCTGGAGTGCTGTGGTGTGATCTCAGCTCATTGCAGTCTCCACCTCCCAGGTTCAAGCAATTCTCAGGCCTCATCCTCCTGAGTAGCTGGGACTACAGGTGCACGCCATCATGTCTGGATAGTTTTTTGTATTTTTAGTAGAGATGGGGTTTTACCATCTTTACCAGGCTGGTCTTGAACTCCTGGCTTCAAGTGATTCACCTGCCTCAGCCTCCCAAATTGATGGGATTACAGGCATAAGCCACCTCACCCAGCCTTTTAATAATTGTTTTTTATATTTTGTCTGGAGTTTACATTTCAATCTGTAGGAGGGCTATCTGGATAATAGAACCCAATCACTGGAGAATTTTAATAGAGTTACTATTCTGAATTCCCCTGGAGTTTACCAGGTGACGTGTGGTTAAAGTCTGAATCATAGTTTCCCAGAAAGGGTAATAGAAAGCCAAAGAGCCTTTTGCTTAAGATTAATTCTGAGAAGTCAACTCATGAATGAAGTTTTTAACTGGTCGAGAGAACTTTGCACATTTTCCATCTGGCTTGGGTGGTTGAAATAGATGTCAAGAAGTCCCCAGGGAATTAGACCACATGGATGTTCAGATGGGTGAACTGCACAAGCTCAATAGCATTTCTGGAGGAGATGCTCAAAGTGAGAATTTAAAAAGCACATGCCAGTACCAATGGATGCAGTTGCATGTATTGTTCGACCCAGGAGTTCTATTTCTAGGAATTTATCCTAAGAATCTCTTCTTCCACATTCTTAAAATGGCATATGTTAATTGTTTGTCATAGCGTAAGGTTGTCAATAGCCTGATAGGTACTGATCAAGAAAGATGTCGATCTTATTTTGGATCTTGTTTTCTGTCTTCACAGATGAACTGCCTTTCTGAGTTTGGCAGATTTACATAAGCTTCCAAGCCTCTGTACAAACAAGATAATACTATCTTCTTGTAGGACTTTTGAGACACTTAGAGCTAATTGATGTAAAACCCCTATTTCATGTTTGGCTTCTCAGAGCATATATTTTTAAAATTATAGTTATTTTTGTTTTAGATTAATTTTATTATTTGTGTTATACAAGGCAATGGCATGAGCACAGACAGAGAGTTTGGAATTCAGACTGATTGGGTTGACACACAGGGTAGGTTTAATGGCAAATTAAAACCACAAATTAAGGTTGGCCCATATTTATGGGGACTTTAAATGCTCAATAGGAAGTGTTAACTTTAATTTTTTTAGGGAATGGGAAACTAATGAAGATTCTTTTCTTTCTGTAAGCTAGAGGATGATACAATTATCCAGTGCTTGTGTAAAATTAATATGAAACTGCTATTTTAAGAAAGTGCTGGAAGGAGAAAGACTGAAGGCATCAGGTAGAGCAGCAATGAGGGGCTGTTGAAAGGGTCTAATTTTTCAACAATTGAAGCTTAGAGTTTGTGGCAGTGAAAACAGAAAGTATGTATGAAAGAGTTCTTTGGAAATTATTCAGTAGGAATGATGATGAACCAAGTGCTGGCAGCAGAGGAGAGGAATGAACTCCAAGATGACTCTGTGATGTTAAGTTTAGTTTATTGGGAAGATAAGGTGCTATTTTAGAAATATGAAAGATATTGGGTAAAGAATGATTAATTTGGGGTAGCATTTGAGTGGCAGTGTCCAACAAAGAGTTGGTAAGGCAAATCTTGTGAGATGGTTCAAACCTAAATAGTGGGAAAATAGACCTGGGTACCGGTTGAATTTAAGAACAGAATTGAGGTCAGGCACAGTAGCTCATGTCTGTAATTCCAGCACTTTGGGAATTCAAGGCAGGAGGATCATTTGAGGTCATCAGTTCAACACCAGCTTGGGCAACATGAGAATACTCTGTCTCTCAAAAAAAAAATGTTAAGGAAATAGCCAGGTATGGCGGCACACGCCTGCCATTCTATAGCTACATGGGAGGCTGAGGCAGGAGGTGTTTACTTGAGCCCAGATTTTGAGGCTACGGTGAGCCAAGATTGTGCCATTGCACTGTACCCTGGGCAATAGACCAAGACCCCATCTCTTTAAAAAGGAAAGAAAAAAAATGTGGTTGAATTCTCTAGGTGGGTATGTAAGGTGGGATTAAGAGAGAGTGATGAACTGACCTAACTGAATAATCAAGGACGAAGATCTGGTGAGGCACACAGAGGAAGACCATCTGAGGAACAGAACCAGGAGAACTCAGTGTCCTTGAAGCCAAAGCGAGCCTGTCTGGCAGTGCCTGGTGCCACAGTGAGATTTAAGAAAGAAAGGAGAGAGAAAAGACCTTGGGTTTGGTGACGTTTGGAGGTCATATTAGTTGGGACCCAGGGACAGAGGGAGTTGAGGAAAGAGTGAGTGTTAAGGTAGTGGGTGCAGTGGGGCAGACCACTCACTATTAAGGTTCCAGTGAAGAGAAAAGGGACTCTGGAGCTTGACGGAATGGAGAGTTTTCAAGGGGAGAATTCTTTTCTAACATTAAGGTGATTTGCTTGTGTATTGGCACCGGGCAAATAAAAAAGTTACTGTGATTCAAAACCCTCTTTTGTAAGTTGAGGAAAACATCTGACTTTTTCAATAGAGAAGTTGTGAGGAGGAACTAATTCAAATGATTGCTGAGTGCTCAGTGAAAAGCAGCTAAGCCACAGGAAATATGGTGACAGACGTGTATTGGCTCATCAGGTGTGACCGTTTAAGTCTGCTCTTGCTTCTTGGTGAATTTAATCTTTATGCTTAAATACAATCGTTAATTCATTAATAATTATGATTTGTATAAAATTGAAATAATTGTCTCTGTTGCACTGTGGTTGTTATTGGAAGAACCTTTCATCAGTCAGTTTTTTTAGGGGGAAATGGAAACACGTTATAACTGAAGAAAGAATTTGCTTCCTCAAGCCTGTGGTTTATAAAGGGAGGGAGGGAACCTACTGCGGACTTTCTGTAGCTAGAGTGATGCTCTGCACTTTGCATATTTTACTTCACTTAATCCTCATTTACATAGGAGGCAAATAATGTTCCAGATCCCAAATCTAAAATCCTTTGAAAACCAGAAAGATTTTTGTAATTTGTTTGGCGTTGAAACCTGAACTAAACTGACATGAGTCTACTTATAGTCTGCTTATCTCACTTAACATGAGTATTCAAATCATTTGCAACAGGGATATTAATGTCTTTGATTATTGGGTGTTCCCATACCATACATAGGGTGTCATGTAATATATGATGCATGTATAGCGCAACCTCCTAAAATCCAAAACATTCTGAATTCTGAAACTCAAAATTATGTGGTCAATCAGCTGGGTCCCTGAGCTTTGATCTGAGAACTTTCTGGCTCTGACAATGGTTTCTTTTCTGCTGTAGCATTCTGCTTGATTTTGTAGGCAAGAGTTTCATTATGTATTTGTAGATTTTGTTATAGTTCTTCTAAAAAACCTGCCTGGGATTTTGGTTTTATTTGGGTATTAGTAAAACTCACAGACATGGAAATGATTGTCATGAAGGAAGAAGTTTGTATTCACAGATCCCTAAAAATGGAAGACAGGCCACACCCAGGTGGAGAAGCACTGGTGGTTTAGAGGCAGAAGAAAGCTGGGCAAGGGCCCAGGTTTTATGGGAAGCAATGGACGAAGCAGGGTAGGCAAGGCTGGGCAAATTGATGATTAGTTAGTATGGATAATTTGGGTAGGCCCTGGGATGTAGGGATGGTCTCTGATTGTTTAGTTACCTTGCTGTGGAGTGATTAAAATAGAGAATTATTTCCTCTTGGGGTAGAAAAGCCAAGATAGGGGAGGTGTTCAAAGTATGGGCTGTGGGTTGGTTGATTGGCATGTCAGATGTGTGCTCATAGGCAAATTGTTTCGCTCTCTGGGTATTAGCTAGATCTGGGAGGAGAAGTCTCTCTAGGATTAGCAAGGCCTCCACCATGTAAAAGCCGTGCAAAAAAGAAAAAATAAACATGATTCCTATAGTTGTATTTATGAAGTAAAGTCTATGTAGATATCACTGGAACAAACATCTGTATTTCAGGATGATGATGTTCACGACTTAGTAAAAATAACAGTGATGACCCTTTAGACAACTTTATGAGGGTGATTTTTGTCATTACTTTGAACTCACGAAAATTAACTATGTGTTTTCTTTTTTGCCTCCTATAAGCCTTGTATTAAATTATATATGTTCAAAAAATGTTAATGACCAATTTGTGAGTTTTATCTATAACTATTTAAAAAATAAACCTACTAGAACTTAAGTATCTAGGTGAAAATTCAACACTTCCTGGGGACTCTGCATTTATTCCAGTGATATCATCGTTGCTGCTTTTTGTTGGGTTGTTTTTGTTTTGGGATTTTCCTCGAGCCTGTGGCATATTCTTTGGAACATTTTCAGGGGTCTCATATTTTTATCCCTGAGGGTGCGTTGTTTTTCAGAAATGGGCAAATGTATGTTAAGTGAAGGGAAAGATTGGGTGGATGTTGTGGTAATTGTTCTAAAACGTGCCTGGGATTTTCGTTTTATTTGGGTACTGGTGAGACATGCGGACAAGGAAATGATAAAAACTTAGATGTGACTGGAAGACGGTAATAGGACTTCATTTCCTGGGTGGGCCTGAGGTTGATCCCAACCACAACTCCAAGAAAGGTCTCCGAGCTGGAGAAACACACACACACCTGAAATAAGGGCCCCTGAGGGCGCCTGTGAAGAGACAGTGCAGAGTTTGATGGGTGGGTTCAGATACGCTTATTGGAAAATTGGCGTCTTGTGTGTCTAAAGAAGGGAGTATCTGAAGAAAATTAAAATGGGTTGGGGGAAAAAACCGGGTGAGTTTGCAGTTGAAGTTCACCTTGTAAATGACTATAAGAAATAAAATTAACAGAGAAGAATTATTAGTATATAAAACATTTATTTTTCTCTCAAAATAAGGATTCTGAAGGACTGTTAGTTAGGGAGATATCAAATGGTGGAATATATAAGGTAGCCATAAGTCAAGGTGGCAGCTGTGTGTGTGTGTGTGTGTGTGTGTGTGTGTGTGTGTGTGTGTGTGTGTGTGTTGTGTGTATGTGTGTGTGTTGTGTATTTGTATACTATTTTTCTGGGATCTAAGTAAATCCTCTCAAATGGCGCAGAATTTTCAGCCATTTCTACATGCTTTCTTTTTCGTTTTCTGGTATCAAAAATGTATAGCTTAACACCTTCATTCCTCACTTGTTAATAGTCTTCTAGGGTATATTCACCAATTTTCTTCATCCCCTTTTCCCTCCCCCTCCCTCTACCCCTCTCCGTTCCTCTCCTCCTTCTCTTCTTTTCTCTTCTCCTCCTCCCCCTTCTTCTCTTCCTTCTTCTCCTTCTCCTTCTTTCTTTTCTTTCTTTCCTCCTGCTCTTCCTCCTCCTCCTTCTTTTTCTCCTTTCTTCTCCTTCCCCCCTTCCTGCCTCTCTTCCCCTCCCCTCCTCCTTCTCTTTCTTTCTTTTTCTGTCTCATCTCTTTCTTTCTCTTTCTTCCTTCCTTCTCTTTTCTTTTCTTTTCTTTTCTTTTCTTTTCTTTTCTTTTCTTTTTTCTCCCCTCCTCTTCCCTCCCCTCGCCTCCCCTGCCCTCCCCTTTTCAGGGTCTTGTTCAGTCATCCAGGCAGTGTAGTGGCACAATCGTAGCTCACTGCAGCATCAACCTCCTGGGCTCAAGTGATCCTCCCTCCTCAGCCCCCTGAGTAGCTGGGACTATAGGCACATACCACCATGCCCAGCTAATTTTTTAAATTTTCTGTAGAGATGGGGTCTCACTGTGTTGTCCAGGCTGGTCTCAAACTCCTGGACTCAAGTGATCTTCCCACCTTGGCCTCCCAAAGTGTTGGGATTGCAGGCAGTAGCCCGATGCCCAGCTATCTCTTCTTTGATCTTGTAATAGTTTGTACAAAATTTGATTGGTGCCCTTTGAATTGTATTTTAAATTAATTGTTAAGAGTCTTTTTATTCTTGAAAGGATTCTAATTCTTAAGACAGTATCTGATTTGAAGAAGGTTCTTTTTGATGTTGAGTGAAGGAATAAATTTGGAAGTGGACCTTGAAATAAATAGCTTTTCATTAGAAAATGTCTCTAAAACTGTGTGATTCCTTGCAGGGGCTGAGGCTGACTGGTGGTCCATTTGGTTCATAAGGTTTGGACGATATATAGTAAATGAGTATTTGGAGAACTGAAGTTCCCTTTGTAGATACACAGTGGGGAAGACACAGTAGTTTTTCTCTGTGAATCATCCACAGGAAATTTTGAGTTCTAGGTCAGTCTCTGACACTTGAGCCATTTGTAGGTCCCTCTTTACCCTCCCACCGTTCCCAGTGCCTAGACTATCAGCTAAACAGAGATTACACAAACAACTTAAACGTTATTCTACATAAGACATAATTGGGAAGGTAAATCTTCTGGAACAATCACGTGGTGCATTTCCAAAGTCAAATATCATTTACTTTGAATTGTTCATATACTGTTCTCCTTCATTAGTGCTGGCCATGAGAGTCTGTATTTTTTTTAAATATTGGGTTCATATTGTGATTACATATGACTACCTAGTATTTGCTACTGAGACCCTAAATGAATGGACTACATTCTTACAGAAACAAACTGTGTACAAACACAGAGTGTATTGGCAACGCATGCTTTTATGTTAAAGCTATGACATTGGCAAGCTTTGGCTTGTATAAAAATTTACATGAGAAGCAAAAGTTTTTAATGGTTGGGATATTTTAAGACATTCAAGCAAAACAAAAGACTGATTTTCTTTTTGTGGAGCATGATGAAGAGGCGTGTTATTGGAAAGAACAAAATCATGTTATTGTAGTAATCAAAAGATTTACCCCAAATTTGCACTCATAAAGCTATTTTATTGCTCTGATCATATTTTCAGCCTCCATATTAGCTAACATTGATGCACATCATTTTGTAGCACTGTCTGCATCATTAAAATGGAAAGATGTAGCTCTAGGAAACCAAGCCTCCCTAATGTCTTTGCACTTAGCCTTTGCAGCTGCCCTGAATTTCCTCATTTGTACATTACCAACAGTATCCTTTTTCTGAGTTAAGATAATGTTGCTATTCAACACAATTCCATATGATTTATGTTTAGATGATACCGAATAGACTTTTATAAAAGGTCCCTGCCACTAATTATTTGTTGAAATCTTATAGGGCTAAAAACGTGACACTTAGTTAACTATAAATTTCACATGCAACCTCAGCAAAATAACGTTTCTTTTCTGCATTCAGTTCTCTTGCAGCTAGCAAGTGAAGCCTTGCCAAATGACATGACCTTGGCTCTTGCTTATCTTCTTGCCTTACCACAGGTAAGTTTGCCCTTACCAATGAAGAAGAACCTAAAAATGACTAAAAAGCGTATACTGTGAATTTTCCTTGGTAAAATTGTTTATTGCATGTCATTTCCTCCTCCTAGTTCTTAGGTGCTAAATGGACCCTGGTCAGTATCTACAGAATCAGTTCTACAGTTAGCTTCAGTGTCAATCTTTACATCCACTTTGATGTGCATAGGATGTGCTTTATAGTGCCTTGTGATTTTTAACTTAGTCATTATTAAGTTGATCTTGAGCTTGAGTTGATGTAATGGAAACTTTGTATGAAAAATCTGCAGGAATGACTAGAAATGTAATGGTTTATAATGATCTTCTTAATTTCCTTTCAGTTGAGTTAATTCTCACATGTCCCCTCCTAGGTGTTAGATGCTAACCGGTGCTTTGAAAAGCAGTCCCACTCTGCGATCTCTCTCCAGCTGGCAGCCTATTACTACAGCCTACAGATCTATGCCCGGTTGGCCCCATGTTTCAGGGACAAATGCCATCCTCTTTACAGGGTGAGTCTTCATGATTTCCACCTTATTAATGAGCAAAGTTAAGCCTTTTCTGAAATACTCAAAACACGTGTTTAATTTTTTGGAGGAACTGATTGCATTTTTATCCAGAATGTATTCCAAGTGGCAGATGGCCCTTGGCTTTCCTGTATCCGACGAAGTAGCTTTGCCAGGTATCAGTAAGTAGAGTTTAATATTTATTGTGAGTGCTGATCCGTCTCTCTGACTTTTCCATCATTTACTTTATTTTACTAAGTTCTTAGTTAGGAATAGCTAAGTAGTAGGAAAGGCAAAACAGAGAATTGGTTTTTAAATTTACTTTCTGAAAGAAAGATGGCTGTGCCTAACTTGGGAAAGTAGACGACATAATCCTTGGAGTAATAACTGCACTTTTATTTTTTTTAAGCCAGAGATATGAAGTGGTCAGTTGTACAGATAGAATATTGAAATATATTGTTCCTACTTGTCACAAGCCTCAGACAGCTTTTATGTAACTATTGTTAATTTTCAAGTGAAAGCAGGTAAACATGGCCTCAGGCTACATGTGCCTTCTTTTGTGGATACAAAAGTACTGCAGATGCCACTGGAAAATCCCTCCAAGTACTTGTATAGACATACCAGTTTTAATTATCAGCATTGGGAAATTATTTGATTTTTGTATTGGATCATTTTAAGAGTAGATAAATAGACTTTAAAATCCACTATATGCATAAATTTAAGGTCCAGATTTTATTGAGGCAAGATTTCTCCTTTCTCAACCCCAAACAAATTCTAATACAACTTATATTTTTGCTGTTTTCCCTGATAGTAAATTACTTTATACCAAAATGAAAAGTCCCAAAGCATGTACTATTTGTGACTGGGTTAAATTAGGAGAAAATCATTACATTCTATCCCACCTTTTGTATCTCACCATCACTCTTTCCAAACTCAGATATTGCAGTCACTCTATAAGAAAGCCTGTTTAAGATTCCCACAATTAAGGCAGGGCATGGTGGCTAACGCCTGTAATCCCAGCACTTTGAGAGGCTGAGGCGTGTGGATCACCTGAGGTCACAAGTTCAAGACCAGCCTGACCAACATGGAGAAACCCTGTCTCTATTATAAATGTAAAATTAGCCAGGCATGGTGGCGCATGGCTGTAAGCCCAGCTAGTTGGGAGGCTGAGACAGGAAAATCGCTTGAACCTGGGAGGTTGGAGTGAGCCGAAGTCACACCGATTGCACTCCAGCCTGGGTAACAAGAGTGAAACTTAAAAAAAAAAAAATTCCACAATTAAAACTGGCAATGAAATAAAGCATAATACTGAAAGATAAGGGTTAAAACTAAAGGTGCATTTATCTTGTTTTTTTTTCTATGTTCTTACAGTTCTTTCATATGGTAGGAAGCGTATTTTTTTCCAGGTCTTACATTTTGTGTAAAGAAATAATTTCATGTGTCTGTCAAAGCTCTAGCTGCTTCGACCTTCCAAACCACATCTAAGAACCAAGAAGGAGGTGAAAACATTCCATCTGTGGTGATAGATAGGCTTTCAGGTTTTCATCCATTTGTGTTTATTTTCAGTAAGACACATGGGAGGACCATCCATAACAGGTGACTCTCCCAGGACACATCACTGTTAGGTGTGTATTGTTTGAGGCATGGTTTTATTCTCATGTCAACATCTGGGTAAAAACCAGGAATGCTTTATTCCTTTAACCAGTTCACCTAAGGTATTACTTTATTTTGGGAATTTTGTGTTTTGTTTTCTGATAACTACGGCTACTTTGTGCAGATACTTATTTTATATAAAATTATACTCTTGTAATTTGGGGTTTTTTAATATCTCAGGTATGGTTTTATGTGAAATAACAAACATGCATTAATATGTTATAAATTAAGGGGCTGAAGTGATTAAGTAGAAATTGGGAGAGTTTATTTTACTCATATCTTTTCATTAGTGCTATGTATGTACAAATAATTTCCTCTAAAACTCTAAGTACATGAAACACAGTGAAGCTTTACTTTGACCAAATGCATAGTACCTTATTGTAAACTTGAATTTTTTTCCCCTAAAAGTCAGTTGAATTCTCAAAATATATTTGACTGTGGTCTCTAAGTAGATGTCATTGACATAGGATGGCAGTGCTGAAATTAGATCTCACTCTTCCATTCCAATTATGTCATCTGTATTAAGGCCCTACTGTGTACCTTTCCAGAATACATAAGATTGGAAGGTCACTGTATTTGTCCATTTTCATACTGCTGTAAACAGCTTCCCAGGCCAGGCACGGTGGCTCATACCTGCAAGTCGCAGCACTTTGAGAGGCTGAGGCAGGTGGATCACCTGAGGTCAGGAGTTGGAGACCAAACTGGCCATCATGGTGAAACCCCGTCTCTACTAAAAATATAAAAATTATCTGAGTATGGTGGCAAGCACCTGTAATCCCAACTACTGGGGAGGCTGAGGCAGGAGAATTACTTAAATATGGAAGGTGGACATTGCAGTGAGCCGAGATGGCGCCATCCCACTTCACCCTGGGCAACAAGAGTGAAACTCCATCTCAAAAGAAAAAAGAAAAAGAACTGCCCAAGACTGGGTAACTTATAAAGGAAAGTAATTTAATTGATTCACAGTTCAGTGTGACTGGGGAGGCCTCAGGAAACTTGTAGTCATGGAGGAAGGTGAGGGGGAACCAAGGCACCTTCATCCCAAAATGTCAGGAAAGAGAATTGGCAAGCAAAGGGGTCGAGCTCCTTATAAAACCATCAGATCTCATGAGAACAGCATGGGGGAAGCCACCCCCATGATCCAGTTACCTCTACCTGATCTCTCCCTTGATATGTGGAGATAATGGGGGTTATAATTTAAGATGATATTTGGGTGGGGACACAAAAACTAACCATATCATTCTGCCTTTGGCACTTCCCAAATCTGCTGTCTCTTTCACATTTCAAAACCACACATTCCTTCCCAACAATTTGCCAAGGTCTTAATTCATTCCAGCATTATCCCAGAAGTCCAAGTCCAAAGTCTCATCTGAGACAAGGCAAGTCCCTTCTGCCTATGAGCCTATAAAATCAAAAGCAAATTAGTTCCTTCCTATAAGTGACTTTCTCTGCTTCCCTTTTAATCATGAGTTCTAATTCCAAACAATCACTTTGTGAATGCATAAAACGATTGCTTTTAAGAGCACTCAAGTCACCTGTTGAATGATTTGCTTCTTAGAAATTTATTCTACCAGATACCCTAAGTCATCTCTCTCAAGCAGAGTTCTACAGGTCTTTAGGGCAGGGGCAAAATGCCACCAGTCTCTTTGCTAAAGAACAGCAAGAGTCACCTTTGTCCCCGACAAGTTCCTCATCTCCATCTGAGACTACCTCAACCTAGACTTCCTTGTGCATACTTCTGTCAGCATTTTGGTCAAAGTCTCATTCAACAAGTCTCTAGGAAGTTCTAAGCTCTTGCACATCTTTCTGTCCTCTTCTGAGCCCTCCAAACTGTTCCAGCCTCTGCCTGTTGCTCAGTTCCAGAGTTACTTTCACATTTTCGGGTACCTTTATAGCAGCACCACACTTTCTGCAGTATTAATTTATTGTTTTAGTCTGTTTCTTTTTCCTTTTTTACTTGCGTCTGACTCCTAATTCCTTCAGCTGTTGTAATCTGTTCTTATACTGCTGTAAAGAATTACCCGAGACTGGGTAATTGATAAAGGAAAGAGGCTTAATTGACTCACAGTTCAGCATGGCTGGGGAGGCCTCAGGAAACTTTCAATCATGATGGAAGGCAAAGGGGAAGCAAGGCACCTTCTTCACAAGGCGGCAGGAAGAAGTGCTGAACAAAGCAGGAAAAGCCCTTTATAACACCATCAGATCTTGTGAGAATTCACTCACTATCAGGAGAACAGCAGAGGGGAAACTGCCCTCATGACTCAGTTACCTCCACCTCGTCTTTCTGTTGACACATGGGGATTATCAGGATTATAATTCAAGATGAGATTCGGGTAGACACACAAAGCCTGACCGTATCAGCCACTCCGTCAATCAGCTGTCAGTCATTAAGCGTCCCTCATGTGCCACACCCTGCTCCTGAGCCTTGGGGTCAGGAGATGACTAAGGCATGTGCTGGACCTCAGTGACCTTGCTACTTGCCCTAAATTCGTATGAGGCAGTTAAGTAAATGTGGTTTAGACTGGCAGTAAAATGGAGAACTAAAGATGGATGTGGGACCGACAAAATTACAGCTTTTAAAAAAGCCAGAAAGCTGACTGCACAGCCACGTTCTGGCCTATCATCTTCAGTTTCATTTCTTTAATTAGAGTGGTTCTCTTGGAGGAAAATTATAGTACAACTTACATTTTTCCTGTTTCCCTCATAGTAAATTAGTTTGAACCACAATAAAAATTGTACTAATGCATGCAGTGTTTGTGACTCGGATAAGTTAGGATAAATCTGTTACATTCCATTCCACTCTTTCCAAATTTACGTACTGCAGTCACTCTACAGGAAAGCCTATTTGGGATGTCCACAGCTGAAGCTTGCCAAGAAATAAAGCAAAATACTGAAGGGTAAGGGTTCAAAGTGAAGGTGTGTTTATCTTGGTTTCTACTTCTGTGTTCCTACAGTTCTTTCCACTTGGTGAAAAGTGTATTTTATTTCCGGGTCTTATATTTTGTGTACCCTTTTATCTGTTCAGCATTGAAGTACTTACTCTAAAGGACATAGAGCTTGGCATTGTGGTATAAAGAATAAGTCTGGATTTTTATTCCTTTCTACCTTTTACCCAATTTCTGTTTCTTCCATCCATTTTCTTTTCTCTTTTTTTTTCCATTTATTTATTCTATTGCATTTTAGGTTTTGGGGTACATGTGAAGAACATGCAATATTGTTGCATAGGTACACACGTGGCAGTGTTATTTGCTACCTTCCTCCCCTTCACCTATATCTGGCATCTCTCCCCAAGCTATCTCTCCCCAACTCTTTACCCCTGACCGTCCCTCCCCTATTTCCCCCCTACTGACCCC